AGGGTCAGCCAGTATCCGGAGCAGATCATTTCCTAGGAGCCAGAGGCCCTTCTTTTAACAGGATGTTCAGGGATTGACTTGGACAGGCAGGCAGTGGTGGGAAATGTTGCCATGAGGAGAAATGGACTTAGTGGCAAGCATGTGGTGGTTTCTTAGTCTAGGAGTCAAGAGGTTCAATTGTTTTTTTGATCTTTTGCTCTCCCCTGCCCCAACAGACTGGTGGGTTCTGGTGACCACTGACATCAGCAGAAGTTGACCTTCTTTACCACAGCAGGTTAGCCTTCTGGGAAATCAGCTGCTGGTCATGGGTTGTCGTTGGCTGTCTTTGAGTCTTGTGCCCATATATGGGAAACTGTGTGGTGGGACCCTTGCTCTTCTCTATATAGTTTCTCTATAGTTTCTGAGGGAGTAACACGATGGGGAGTTACTCACATCAGAAGGCAGAAACGACATCCTCACAGCCCCATCCACCAGTCACCTGAATTTGGTGAGAACTGAGATGGGAAACATGCCCAGGAAGGGTCACTGGAAGCGTCAAAGGTATTGCTCCTGTTAGGCCCTTCCCAGCTCAGAGACTTACCTGCTCTCCAAAGATTGGGGTGAAGGAGAAGCAGCTTAAAACAGTGTTTAGGCTGACAGATATTTCTGGTTGAAGTTATCTGCCTTTTGAGAATGACTCAAGATTACAAGGAGTAATGCTACCGGTTCTAAACAACTTTGGAAAAATCAGGAATGTGCTTAATTGCTAGTTTGTGGTTGTGAAGAGCTGGTTTATTCCACAGGGTAGACTGTATTTGCTTCCTTTTCCAGCATTCTCCTTCCATCCCTCCTATAAGTCTGGCCTCTAGTACCAGGGACCTTGTTGAAGTGAGGCCCGGGGCTGAAGTGGAGCCAGAAAGGACATGGAGGGTGTGGTTCCCCAAACCTGGGGATGAACCTACAGTGGGGCTAGGGAAGGTCTGTGGTCCTCTAAGCTGGTGAGATCAAGCCCTTTTACCTACCATGGTAATAACCAACCATTGTTGAGCTGGAAGTGTAAGTGTCCACCAGCATCTCCAGACAGACTACCCCTTTAAAGGTTACTAGGCAGCACCGGAGACTGAAGTTTATGGGCTTAGTTAGGAGGTGGTAGGAAAAACTGGTTGGCATCATCAAACTGCCTTAGCGAATTTGGCCCTTCCCAGGCAGGTGGGTGTAGCATGGAGGGAAAGTGGCCCTGCCTTTCCTGGCAGGGTCTGGGAGATCACCAATTTGGTGAGACCAGCTGGTGGTGTTGATTTCCACCCCCATTAGGAGATCATGGTACAAAGCCTGGGAGGGGCCTTAAGGTGTGAAAACCTCTCTGGGTAGAAAGAAGGCAGGGGACTTCTCTTCACCATCTCTAGGAGGGTCAGTAGATTGGAGAGTTTTATCTGTAGGGTCAAGGCAGTAGACTGATGGGAATAATGGAGGGTGGATGGGTTTTCCCGAGAGACTTTGTATAATGCTGAATGTGTCCAGAGGGACGAGTTTGCAGAACCTCATATTGGTATATTAGAGAAATAATAAAATAAAAAAGCACTTTAGGTTATTTTATCTTTAACCCAATTGCTGCAATTTCTTTTGTGTGTGTGAGTGTGTGTGTGTGTATATATATATATATATATATACATATATATACATATACATATATATACTTTCCACAAAGTTTTATTTTTTGCTCAGAATAAAAAGTTGAATTGAGGTGTGAAAAGAAAAGCACTTACCTTGGTGCAATATGTGTAGCTTGATGGTCGTTGTCCCATGTGGCCCTGGCCTGGCCGCCTTTCCCCCAGGATCAGCCCTGTACTATGAGACGGTAGGGAAACACTATATGCATTCGCAGTTCAATCTATGCAAGCCTTCCCTGTGTGCCCAAGGGCGCCCTCTCAGGCCCCCTAAAGAACTGCTGTGGGTCCAGTTTTCTGCTGACTGTTGAGGCCCTTCTTCATCACTTCTGGTCCCTTGTCATCTTTCCCCTCTTCACCACTACAAAGTGATGCCTGAAAGGAACAGGTTGTTCCCTAGGTAGAAAACCTGGCACCTTCTGGACTTTAATATTTGTAATCACATCCATCGTCCTTAATCCTAAAGGCTTTTCCAGAGTCACAGGAAGCCACTGATATGTGGATTTGCAACAATATTGCTAAAGAGTGTAATTTTCCTAAGCCACCAATCAGAAATATGTATGGGGAGGTGTAGTGGTAGTTTGGAGGGGAGGAGCAGGCTGCCGGAGCCATTTCCATGCTGGACCCCATCTCCCTCTGATGCTGGCTCTTTGAGCAAGCAGGCCTCTAGCCTTCATAAACTTCAGAAAACCAGGGTGTTAGCGTTACCTGCTTTATCAACTTCTCCTTTACGCCCATCTGTTCCCCCCCCACCACCACCACCATTTATCTTCAGTTCTCAGGCTACTATAGAATGGATAAATTAGAAAATATACTTCAGCCAAAGCAGAAAGATTTCCATAGATCCAGTGTGTACTAATACTTCTGCTGTGACATAGATTGGAAATTGTCCATTCCTTAATTTGAGGGAGTGGAGGAGGCAACAAAATTGAATTAAGCATATTTCTGATTGGTCAGTCAGTTTAGCCTGTTACCTCTCATGTACTTTTTGGGGAGAAAGGGATAGGGTCCTATGTTTCTTCTCATGCCCTTTGGGGAAGCTGATGATCACTGGGCATTTCTCACTGTTATTTCTGTTCAAGAGAGGGCTTCTCAGTCTGCACTGAAAAATGCAAATTAAACTGGATCTTTATGTCAACGTGTACATAGTCCAAGCTTTTTTTACTGGAAGCAAAGTTTCAAACCGCACACTGCCCTTTTGGTCGTGTGCCTGCTGGGCCAAAAATTGGGTGATAATGTAGTGTTACTTTCTCAGCTCAATGCAGTTTCTACTCTTTTTCTTATGGGAAAATTTTTCATAAAACCTTTTTTCACCAAAACCCAGGGGTGTTTTTTGCAATATCCTTGTTACACTTGTAGTGGTGCCAAGTCAGAGGCCTCTCTTGCCCTTCTCCCCTGTGTCCTCAGGCCTCCCTGGGGTGCTGTTTGACTCAACAGGCTACACCCTTTATTGTGTTTTGAAGAATGTAAGGGTGGGGGTGGGAGTTCAAGGTGGCCATCCCCTGCCCTCTCAACTCTTCCTAATCTAGCTTTGGGGAAAGTGGCTGGAAACAGGTTTTTGCTGAATCTCTGGCCCAGATCTGGCCAGAATAGGCAAAACCCACAAGAGCCTTCTTCTTTGACACATACTAGTCATTGGCCAGAGGTTTGGTGACAAGTTTTTTAAATCCCAAATAATTTTATTTGGATTATGTAAAAACCTATCAAATTTATTTGTGAAACATGGGAACAACAGACTTCCACTGAGCGATATGAAAACGTTACAGGTTCAGTACTTCCAAAGGAAGAAACCTCCAAACCCAAAAAAGAGTAAATATGAATTTGTATTTTTGAAGAATGTGAAATAATGGTGTTTGCTTAATTGCTCATTTTGTATAAACTTAATATTGTACTTTAAAATATCTGCTAAGAAGTGAAAATTTAACTTTTTGGAATTGAAAAAGCAATATTAAATACTAATGAAATCCTAATTAAATGCTTATTTAAATCCGGTAGTATCTGTGGCATTTCTTCCCACCCCTGTCCATCGCTGGCAAATTTTAAACACTTTTCCCCCTCCCCAGCATTCAGTGTCTTAAAGAGGGGCTAGAAAGGAAAGGTCGGTCACCAGGAGAGTCTGCAGGTTTCCTTTTAATCAAGGCTCTGCTGAAAGTGTTTTGTGGGGCTAGGAGCCCCCCAAGCATGAAATGGACATGTAACACCACCTGGACCCCCAAAGCAGGCCAGACCACTGTGGCGAGCACTGCTGGTCTGCCCAAATCCGGGTAATCAGACTGGGTATTCGTTGGCTACATTTCTAAGCTCAGCACTGCCTTCAGCCAGGATGAAGTGGGAGTAAACCCAGATGCTAGCAGAGCTGCCATCCCAGGCTGAGAGCCAAGTACCGGCCACTGCCAGTGAAAACTGGCCCCTTTATAGAAGGGAGTTGTTCAGAGTCCAGCCACCAGCCCCTGGGAGGGAAAGAAGTCAGGGCACCCGGCTCGAGAATGATCAGGGCTCCGCAGCTCCATCGCCAGTATCCTTTGGAAAACCACCTCTGGTGGAGACAGCTGGCTGTGGGGGCGCTCCCGTTTTGGCTGAGACGTTCTGGTTGGAACGAAAAGGAAAAATATCAGGCTGGGAGGAAAGGCCTTGGCTTAGGCCCCACGAGATGTGGCCACTTGGCATTTGGCTAGCACTTAACTTCTTCAAAGCCTCTACGCCCAGGTGAAAGGAGGTTGGGGGTACAGGGGTGGGGACAATCTTGACCCTCCAAGGGAAGCTAGATCGAGTCCAGCCAGTGGTCAGTCCCCACCCCCTAGGCCCAGCCCGGGGTGGGCACTGACCCCGCCACCAGCCGGCTCCGGGCGCCGGCGGCCCAGCTGCCGCAGCATCTCCTCACAGGCGGCGATGGTGTCCAGGAGCTGCCGCTGCCGCTGCTCCACGGCGTCCAGCAGCTGCTGGGCGCGCTCATCGCGGGGCGGCTGCGGGGGTGGCCTCCCGCCGAGCCCCAGCCCCGCCTTCCCACGGTCCACGCCGGCAGCCTCCCTGCCCGGGAGAGAGCAAGAGACAGACGGTCAGGGCCGACGCTAGTGCGGAGTTCGAGACCCTTCCCCCCCGCCCCGACAGGCCCCCTCTCACCCCCGTGACCAGTCTGTGCCCGGGCCCCATTCCATCTCCGCCTGCGCGGCCCGACCACCGCCCCCCTTTCAGCCGCCCCCCCTCCCCAGCGCTGCGCTAGGGCTCCGCAAAGCTGCGCCCCGCCCCGTCCCCACCGGTCTCCTTCAATCCTCCTGGGGGTCGTGGTCCCTTTAAGTTGCCCGGCGCGGAGGTGGGGCCGAGCCTCTCGGACCGGAAGCTGGTTGGGCGCGTCACTTCCTCCCGGAAGCGGGCCTTGGCGGATGTCTCCGGCGCGTCCGTGCAGGGGGCTGAGGGCCGCGGTGGCTGCCAGCGTGGGATTAAGCGAGGGGCCGGCGGGCTCCGCCCGAAGCGATCGCCTCCTTCGCCCGCCGAGTCCTGTTCCGGCGGCGCCGGGGGCCCGGCTGTTGCGGCTCCCGGGAAGCGGGGCCGTGCGGGCCGCAAAGCCGGAGCGCGCCGGCTGGACCGAGGCGCTGCGGGCCGCCGTGGCCGAGCTGCGCGCTGGCGCCGTGGTGGCTGTCCCCACCGATACGTTGTACGGCCTGGCCTGCTCGGCGAGCTGCTCGGCGGCACTGGGCGCTGTGTACCGCCTCAAGGGCCGCAGCGAGGCCAAGCCGCTGGCCGTATGCCTGGGCCGCGTGGCCGACGTCTACAGGTGAGGCCGCCCCGACCCGGCCCAGCTGGGGGCGGCACCGCGGGAGGGGCTTCCGGTGACAGGCTTGGGAGACTGAGGCGCAGAGAACGGGAGGGGCTTGTCCATGCTCACCAGGAATCCGGAACTGGAAGTGTGTATCGAGCACTTTAGGATCGCCGGTCTCTGAACGCGATGCCGGGGCGCAGCGGTGAACGGGGCAGTCCGTGGCCCTGTTCCCTTGGCTGCCTCGTGATGAAGGAGGCGGGGAGCGATACCGGGGTTTTGAAAAAATGACAAACCCGGTAACCTGATCAAGTAAACCGCGCCGCGAAAATGAAAAACGGGGAGCGGTGCAGCAGCTGTAGCCTCGGAAACTGGAGGCTCGTGAACGCCAAGCCTGCCGTGCACCTCTGGAGCCCCACCTTCAATTCAAGTGTTTGGGGTGTGGAAGAACAGCCCTTTTCTGGGTCTATCTAGAATCTGGAATAGGACCAGCATTGGCCCTTTGTTTTTGGGTAGATTTGTGCCCCTGTTTCCCAGGTACTGCCACGTGAAAGTCCCTGAGGGACTCCTGAAAGACCTGTTACCAGGACCAGTTACACTGGTGATGGAACGCTCAGAGGAGCTCAACAAGGACCTGAACCCCTTCACTCCCGTGAGTCAGATTTCTTGTGGCCCCTAGACTCTTCCATTTGACTGGGACCTAGGCCAGGCTCATCCACCAACCCTGCCAACTCTGTCACCATTTTTCTTGCCTCCTAGCTTGTGGGCATCCGGATTCCTGATCATGCCTTCATACAGGACTTGACTCAGGTATTTGGGGGACCTCTTGCTCTCACCAGTGCCAACCTCAGCTCCCAGGCCAGTTCTCTGAATGTGGAGGTGAGAACACCACTTCCCCAGAAACATCACCAGGGCAGAGTGTTTCCTCTGAACCAGTGGCATTGACTATACACTGAAATTGACTGGTGGGAAGTCGCCTTTTGGTCTAATGGGAATATGCCCAGGTGGCAGGAGTTGGAGTGGGGGGATTTGAAATTGAAGAATCTTGGAATGGTTTTATTAAAGTTTAAGAGGCTGCGGGAAGAACGGGTGACTTATTCCCACTGACTTTTTTAAGAATAGGACACATGGTGATAAATAAAATCATTGCTTCTCTTTTTTCTTGTGGAAGTAGTTGAATAGAGTTAAGCAATAAGTCTTTAGTCTTTACAACAATGGTGTAATGGTTGCTAAGGTTCCAAAGATTTAAATAACTCCTGATCCTTGCCTCTTACATCTGCCAAAAACCAGGTCAAAAAAAAAAGTACCATCTTAATGTTGTCTTGGCTGCATAGCTTAGAACTATTGAGGACACAGAAATTTGACTTGCCACAGGCTTTTCTTACTGAGCTTAAATGTAGATCATAGTGAGGTCGTGAGGTTTTTTTGCCACAGACCTAGAGAGTAGGTTCAGGATCTTTGGGAATTGAGAGCTCAGCATCACTTCTTTCTCTCAGACTTGAGACTTTACTTGGCCTGGTGGCTCTACCCAGTGTAGAATGGGTTGTGGGGTAGGAGGTGGATAATTGTTAGCTTTTAAGGAAGCAGCTGACCTATTCACACAGGAGCTGGAAGTTGTGATTCCCAGTCCCAAAATCAGAGATGCAGCTGCCTCTGTAGTGTTTTCATGGATTGGGAGGGTGGTAATGACAGTGTTTTATCCAGCTCAATTAACATTTTAGTATATGCTGCAGTCCTGATAGAATACTGTGTCTAGGCGATAGTGCAGCGTCCTAGGCACAGCTGATCACTGAATGAAATGCTTGGGGAAGATGCCTTTAAGCATCTTTTTTAGGTGTGGCTTTTCTCTCTCTAACACTTTAAGCAGTATGACACCATTGCAGTTGCCAGGGGTAGTGTCATGCCCTTTGCCTCTGTCCTCAGGAGTTCCAGGACCTCTGGCCTCAGTTGTCCCTGGTCATCGATGGCGGACCAATTGGCGATGGCCAGAGCCCTGAGTGTCGACTAGGCTCCACTGTGGTCGACTTATCTGTGCCTGGAAAGTTCAGGATCATTCGTCCAGGATGGTGAGTCTTCTGTGGTATTGCAGTAGAATTGAGGGAGGTTGGGGGGGGGGGGGTGCCAAAAAAATAAAAAAAAAAAAAAAAAACTAACAAAATGAAGGTGTTACCTTGAGGGGAACAGGCAGGTTTGAAGTGGTTGGTGGAGCGTGACTTGGTGTTTGGTGGTCTTTTCAGGATTCAGAGGGATTCAGGGGTTTGCTGAACAGAGCATAGTGACAGGGAGTTTAGTGCTCCCTGATCACTGGACCCTGGTGAGCTCAGGGCTTTGGGAAATCAAATTCTGTCTTTCATTTCTTCCTTAGTGCCCTAGAAAGTACTACAGCCATCCTCCAACAGAAGTATGGGCTGCTTCCCTCACATGGATCCTGTGTGTGAAGTTCTAAAGGAGGGAGAGCCCAAGGATTGGTGCTGGACACTGTGTGTCTGTTCCTGGTGGTTGGCAAGGCCTCAGTTGCAGAGGCATTGGGGCTACAGCATCACTTGTCTCTTTGCTGAACACTGCTGACCAGGCCCCCGAAGCTGCTAGCTGAACTGTACCTCTGTTGGGGGGTGGAAGACACGTGAGAGGTATTTTCTTTCTACAATTTCACGGGTCACTCGAAAGCTGAATAGAGACTTTAAGAATATTCCTAGGATAGCTTTATTCTGGAAAGTTTCTTCTTTTTTTTTTTAAGATATTATTTATGCTTACAGACTGGGGTATAGGCCAGAGATGTAGTAGGTGAGAGGATTCACTAGAGACAGAGTGGGGAGCAGAACAGGCAGATTGACAAAAGTACATTGCTGAGGGGAGCAGCAGGAGAAGTCTGGAGAGGTCTGCCTCGCTATGTGGGTTAGCTCCCTGACTTGAGAACAAACTCATGCTGCAGTGGCTTTGGAGAGCTTCATAATGCAGTGCTTTAACCCATTGTACCATCAGGGAGAGCCCTTTTTTTTTTAACTCTGAAATATAATGTAAATAACAGATTTGAAATTGAAAGAGAGCCTTCTCTGTAAGTTCCAAATCAGCTAGGATACCAGCTATAATATTTAAGTGACCAAAACACACAAATGTGTATGTCTGAGAAGGGCCCCAAGTTAGGGTACATGTTGTAGAGGCACAGGCCATTTTCCTCTGGCACCCTGTGGGGCTGGTGTGCAATATACTGAAAGACGGAGTGAATCATCTTGGTCTGATGGTAGTGGAAGCCAGCTCAGTTGGCAGGGTGTTGAGCTGGGTCATGGAGTCCATATTAAAGACTATTAGAAAGTGGCCCTCTATGACCCTGTTCAGCTTTGACCCTTACTTATTCATAAAATAAATTATACCAATAACACCTTTATTTAAATCCAGTGTCTACACAGCAGGCCTCTCTCTATCTTTTTTCATATGTGTGACAAGTATAAACAACTCTTGTCGGACATTTGAACTTTTGTTTTTCTTTAGTTGAAAATAATGCTGCTATTAAATGTCTTTATAAATGGTTTATTTTTCTTTTGAATTATTTCCTTTGAGTAGGATTACTGAATTGAGCTGTATGAATGTTTTTATAGCTCTTGATACAAATTAGCCTTTAAAAGAATCAAACCAGGCTGCTTTGCCCATAACAGAGTGTAAGGATTGCTGCCCCTGCCCCCTGGCCACACCATACTTTGAAATAAATATGTGTGAAGTGAAAGCTCAGTATTAACTCCCCTCTGAATTATAACAGGTTTATAACAGCCCTTTCACCTGTCCATGCCTCCTTTGGCTTCCTCCAACCAAACCAGGGACTTCCCATCCATGTTGGGGCTTGTTCCCTAGTTAGAGCTGGGAGTCATCGTCACCAGGAGATAACTCTTCCTCCCCTTTCTGCAGCCCAGTTCACAGAATTGGGTTTTGGTCTTGAACCCATAAACTTCTCAACACAGTAATTACCAGTGCACTTATTTTCAAGTGAATTAATTCTAAGAATCTTCCAGGAAAGTGACCCAAGGACTTGCTTTAATGAAGGCCCTTACTGTTAACATACTAGTTTACTTGTAAGTAAACGCTGGTTTATTAAATACCCCCTCTGGAAATCTTGCTTAAATTACTAATTTCTTAAGTAAACTTACTCTTCAATGTTCTAACATTGTAGCCAACCCATCCCACATGTGAATTTTTCAGACTTACAGGTTCATATTGAGATCTAGAAGAGAGCAAAAGGAATACTTGCTTGAGAATACCACATCATATTTAATTACTACAAATCACAGTAGCACTGAAAATGGCTCTAGTGAGTTCATTCAGCTTAAACAGCTAAAGGAAGGAGGTGTCCCAGTCCTCTCCCTAGAGCTAAATGTTCATCTGGGAAAATGTAGGCTCTGGAGCACGAGGTATTTTCTTGAAGGGGAAAGAACTGAACTCTCAGCATAGGTTAAACTTGCAAATAAAGAAACTTATAGCTGTGCTCAGGCACTAGCTACAAGGCCACACCAAACAAGGAAAGCTGGATCCTGGAAGCCTCTGAAAGAGGGGAACCATCCCTTGATCAAGTTTTTCTGCAGCACCTAGCATGTGGTAAGGTGCTTGATTAGTATGTGTTACATGAATATGTGAATATTCAGGATTGTTTCCTGAAAATTGGGTTCAGGAATCTATAGGAAAGAGCTTAAATCTAGAATTTCCCTTTTAGAAAGTCTCAGCTGTAGTTCCCAAACCTAGAGAAGACAAATGATGTGGGAAGGAGACCTGAAGAGAGGCAGAAGGAGCAGGGTGCATGCTAGCCCAGAACCCTGACCCCCTTCCAAGAGAACTTCATAACACCGGCCTGCCAAGTTCAAAGCTAAGTGTCCTAACAGGATGTGGAGCTGCCCTGGGCCAAGTCCAGTCACCTGCCAGCCATTATGATTCCCCATCCGGAACACTGCCTGGCTTTCTGTCATTGCAGAGTACCCCAGCACCATCTTGCCTAAAAATACAGGCTCTGTTCACATGGGCTCAGACCCAGAAGCACTCAGCTACTGACTCAGACAAGCAAGTGCCTGTAACTTCAGTTGGGGCCCACATGGTTACTTCTTCCATTGAGACTGGCACACCAGCCCCTCACATCAGCCACTGCTCCTTCTCTTTGATGAAGTGCTCAGCCCATCGGCGAGTCAGCTCCAGGTACAGGCTGGGCTGATGAGGCAGGTAGTCCAAATATAGCCGAGTTGGTGTCTTTTTAGGAATGGCCTTCTCAATCTGGGTGCCCTCGTGCCACTCATTGAAAGAGGTGATGGAGACAATCTCAGGCCTCACTGTTAGGGCTGCCTGCAAGGCTGTCTCATAGTATTTGCCATTGACCCTGTTCCGAGTGTTGTGGTTGTTCCAAGGCCGGATGCTGGTATCAATGTAACCAGGTCCCACACTAGGAATGAACATGAGATTGTTGGCATCGCAAAAGTTCTTCACAGCTTTCCAGTTCTGATGGGAAGAGCCGAAGGAGAAACCATTGGAGGCGAAGTAGGTATACATGCCATCAAATCCAGCAGCCAGGATGTCATGAGTGTGGCCCTCCTCCACCAGCAGCGCTATGAAGACTCCATCATAGGGGGTGTTGCGGATTGAGTGGGGTCCATTTGGTGTCAGAAGGTGGGCCCAGGCCTCAGGGGATGTTAGGTATGAGTCATAGATGTAAAAGAGTGGAAGGCTCTTGCCCATGCTGTTCTTATAGCGGTAAAATGCACCATGGGAGCCATACCTGAGAATAGGGAGGGAGAAGAGCCTGAGCTGGCAGCTAAGATGAGGGAAGTCAGCAAAGTAGGACCAGCCATGGATGAGGTCTTTCCTGATGCCCAAGTACAATTTAGAGTCCAGCCATGCTTCCAAGCAAGAACCTGGTCCCTCCCTCTTCTGGCCTTGTCATACATTTATTCGAGCCTCTCTTCCCTGCTCTAGGCACTGTGCAAGCCACTTTCACACTTCAATTCCTGTAATTCTCCCTAAGCTTGAGGGTGAAGAGGCTCACCTCCATCACCACCATCTTTTATCAGGTGTAAGCTCACATGTCATCTCAGGAAAGCTTACTTGGCGACCAGTTACTCAGGCATACTAACACAACACCCTTTTCATTCTTTATTATTAATTTTTAGAGTATGGGTCATTGTTTGATTTTTCCCTCTGTAACTACAGTTACTTCACTGTACCCCCCACTACACACTAAACTAGTATCAGGAGTTTTGCAAGTCCTACTTATTACTGTCTAGGGCTTCAGATAGTACCTAAATACCTAGACAGTAAATAGTTTCTGAATGAATGAATGATATGGACATGCCACTTTCAAATATATTAATTACTGTAACACACAAAACCCAAAAGCTTAAGAGCATCCTCTAATTGCCGATAGGAGACCACAGGACTAGAATCCAAACCCAGGTCCCAACTCCAAGTTGAGTGCTCTCTTACTATAAAATAGCTGTTGGGGACACAGTTGTTCTATCCTTGTGTCTCTTGACCTGCCCTGTCACCTATCCCACCCATTTTGATCCCCAGCAAAACCCAGCCCCAGAGCAGCCTTACGTGTCAATGATGTACTTGATATTGTCATGCAGCGTGATGTCATCCCGGCCCTTGTAGGGTTGGATGTGGAAGGCCACCTGCCACAAACAGGAGATACTGGTCAGGTGAGTATCTGTTCTGGGGCTATAACCTATGAAGCTCATGCTCCCACTGTAGCCTGGAGAAGCTGGCAACCGTGGGTACGTATCATAAAAGCAGCCACTGCTCTTCAGAGCCAAAAGGAGCAGCAAGAAGACTGCCTGCCTCCCCCTGTAGGCTTCTGGGAATCATTCTGATGGCCTATTGTAGGATGATTAATAGGTTTCAACGATGTGCCAGCTCCAAGTAACTGATGCTGCCTGCATGGACCAGTGGGAAGAAGTATACTGAGCTGTGTGGATGGGAAAATGCTATGACCTGTTAAACATGTCAGTGATGGGTTCAGGAATGGGCAATGGGACTTCTCTATTCCTTCAGCATAGGGGAGGTCAATGACTGACTTGGTTGGTACATTTTGGGGAAAATAAGTAGATAGTTTAATTCAGCTCCATCATGCCTCTTCAAAGTGAGCTCACCTGCTGAGAAAGTTGTTCTCTACTTGAAGCCGCACATTGCCATCCACTTGGGAGCTGAGGCTGGAGTTAAGTTTGTGGCACATTCAGCCCTTTCCTAACCTCCATCCAGGACCTGAGGCTCCAACATAACATCTATTGTGGTAGTTAACCTAGTCTCCCATGTGTCCTACATGTAGCTCTCCTACTTTTTTCAGAGTTTAAGACAATAAAATTGATGTAGGATTTTCCTTAGAACCCCACCCCCCACACCACACTTGCTATCTATTAACCATACTCAGGCTATTGCCAAGAACTTGGGTAGAAGCACTAACCCAGAGGGAGGAGGAGAAAAATCCCCCAGTGACAGGAAGCACTTAACTTCTTGGAAACTTACCTGGATGTTGTACTGATGGGCAGTGTCCAGAATGGTGGGCACCAGATCATCTGAGGGTTCCCCATTATCATCAGCCATGCCAGGTGGGTACCAGGACAGGACCAGGACACCTGAGACACAATACAAAGGTTACTTCACAAACACACAGTACTCCTGTAATAGAGATTTGCTTCCTCACAAGCCATCTCCAAATCCATAATTTCTGAATGAAACTTCGAGGGGTTCTCTGCCAGGTTCACTTCCTGCAGAACATATCCAAGAGCACTGCGTGCTGGAGCTGTCCATAACTGTGGTGCTGAAGCGCAAGACTGCGGAAAACTTAAGGCAACCGCCGTGAAGAAGCTGAGAAAGCCGAGATAGAAGGCTCTCTCGAGGGCAGCAGCAAGTGGTAGAACAAAGGGAAATGGTTGGACAAAGCCACACCCACCTGGAAGTCGCAGTCCTCTCCGGAAGAAAGGAAAACCTGAGGTCCCCACAGTGAGAAAAACCTGAGTAAAGGTCATCTTATGTGTCCCATGGGAAATAACATTTGTCTGTACTGTCTGCCCTGCAAAACCAAAATCTTGAGGGCTGGTCTCTATCTGTGTACTCCTCCAACCATGATCTCTGGCATTCAATTCCTCTCCTACCACCACAATTTCTACTTAAATTGAAATGTACTGTAAAAATCCAACAGAATTCAGTGATGAAATAAAAACAGTTGAGCCTCCCCATTCCATTCTACGAAGGAGCTCCCAGAGACATCTTTTCAAGATAAGTACTTGACGAAAAGCTACTGGGTCCTTTATTGCAGAGTAGGGTCCATCATGCAATGTGGGTAAACTTTGCAGTCAACAAAAGCAGAAATGACTGAGGCTATACCCTAAGCCCAATATAAACGCACAGGCCATCCCAGGTGCTATTTCTCTGAACCACAGACTTCTGAGAGGCCAAGATAACCAGACCTCATCGTTCCTCAAGACTTCCACGAGGACTTGCTTCCTCACCCCACGCTATCTGGCGCGCAGGCCTTCCCAGCAGCTCTGCCCGTTGAAAGGGCCCTGGAATTGAGAGGTTAGAAGGTGGGGGTGATGTCTCGTGGTGAGCGCTCTGAGAGTAGAAAGGGAAGGGATAGGAAGTCAGGCTGAAGAGTGAGTGGGACCAAAGTTCCCGTGACAGGACCAGAAGGAACTGGGATATAAGAATGAAGAGGGAGGCTGGGGAATAGGGCTCCGCAGGGAGGGGAGGAACTCACCGATGGCCGCTTCCTTGAGTTGGGTCATATGCTCCCGTAGCACTTCGGGGTCCCGGGAACTGTAAGGTCCCAGCTCCGGGTAGAAGCTTGAGCCCAAGTCGTCGGGGGGGCTGTGGCGGCCGCGGGGGTAGCTAGCCGATATCTTGGGGTCCCAGTGTGGCACCATGACGTGGTCCCAGTGAATGTAGTGGCCCTCGCGTCGCGGGCTTCCGTACCAAGAGTAGTAGAAAGCGTGCAGGTCCGAGTAGACGCGCAGGCTCTGCCCGGGGGCAGGTTCGGCCTCCGCTGGGGCTGGCCCCGGGGGGCTGCC